GGCAGATGAGATAAAGTTTGGAGGTGATGTGTGGCGGCAGCAAGTTTGAGACCGGGTTGATGAACGGAACGTGAGAGAGGCATCTGCACTGCAGTGGGCTTAATCAGGCTGATGATTATGATCGGCGTGATCTTCCTGGCCTCTAACAGGTAACACACTACCCGAAGGAATAATGTGTGATAAGTATACATGGATTTCTGTAGAGATTAATTGGCTGCTATATGTAGCTGCCTTGCCACTCTCCACTGCAAAGCTTTAGATCACACAGCAGCTTCGTAAGCAAAAGAGGGTTTGCAATGCAATAGCCCTTATGTTGCGGCAGGGTTTCACATGAATATGACCAGTCATACTAAAAAAAAAGAGTATCAAGCGCTTTCAGTTTATCAAAACCCACCCATGCTTCGAGGAATAGTAAATCCAAAGTCCTTGTAAAGCTAAGTGCATCAACCTAAATATACCTCGACGTTGAAGATGGATTTCACACTTCCTGATGACAACACAAATACTGAAGACTGAGATGTCTCAGTACTTTTGAGGGGTTGACTAAAAATTTCGCAAAACTGTCAGTATTTTAATATATTGATAATATATAACGTTCTACCCCCCAAAACGAGGGGGCATGCTATAGTGAAGGCTCCGGAAAATTTGACATTTGAGGTACTTTAACGTGCTCTGAAACCGCACACTACATGACCTCTTTCTCCTACATCGAAACATGACCACTGTGGACGGGATTGAACACGTGACCTATGGTTCAGCAGCCGAATACGGTAACCACCATAGAATCACAGTGGTGGACAGTAATAATTGCTGCAGTAAGTTACGTATGTATGTTTTCTTATTGCTCCAATACTAATAATTATTGGGTGTAATGCACAGCATTGTACACTCTGATTGTTATATTCCATTGCACAGTGTGATTATGGTATGCATAGGATATGAAGACGGTACAGCACTGAGCACGCACATTATTCTTTTGTTGCCAGAATTTCAGCACACTGTCACATGTGTAATCAGTGCCTTATAGATTTCAGCTCCTAAAGCAGTTGGCCGAAATTCAGACATGACTATATATTTCAGTTTTAAACAAGATACCTCAGTGAAGCATCAAACTGCCCTTGGGAATTTCCTGCTTAGCCGAGGCACAAAGCCGAAAAATTTTCGCGAATCTTTAAGCTTCGCCTTTAAGAGATGAATGCGAAAGCGACATCATGTCACTAGTACGTACTTCAACCACCTAAAACATACTTTCCATTGTATGATGTTACTCAAGACACTTCAATTGTGGATTACGACTTTGTTATGACACGAGATGGAACTGGGAAGGTAGTACCAGTAAAGCTACATGAACTTAAACCATCCGCTCCCCCCCCCCAACCCACGTCTCGTACTGGACACTTTAGCAAAATACAACATGTACAAAAATGAAAATAACAGCAAGCTTTATTAAACGATACAAAAAGGAAGCTCCATACATATTGTAACCAAAGAAGGCAAAACACCAAATAAGCATTATGAAAAAGCGCATGCAAGTCTTTGCTTGAAAGTTTGGCCAGGTGATACTTATTGAAACCCGAGTGACTAAATTGCATCGCTTAAAAGCCGTAGTGTGGGAAAGCATTGCGGTACATGCCATAGTCGGGTGCGCCTCAAGTATAGGGGTGCATTGTAAAATTGAGGTTCTGTCTGCTATATATATATATATATATATATATATATATATATATATATATATATATATGTATATATATATATATGGGATATGGCACAACGGGAGCGTTGTCAACAAGGATTAATATATTTATTTCCCAACAGTTTCGGGAGGGGTCCTCCCTTCATCAGGGGATGAGTTGCATCTCGTGTGCAATTTTTCATACGCTTTGTGGCAAATGTGTCCTATAGCTATGCAAGGAGTTAATTTCAAGTACATTAAACGCAGTGCTACAATTCCGGTCAGCTGGTGAATGAATACTGGAATGCGTAATGTCGCTTAGTGCTAGCACCATACAAAATGTCCAAAGTTGGTGCAGCTGATCCACAAGACTTTCTAGATGCAGAGCTAGTCTGTGAGACACTTTTTGCATGGATACTTCAAGCGTAGTACGATGTGTACGTGCTAGTGTAACTTTCATGCGCGATAATGCCTTTAAAAATGTCATTGCTTCTCATCACATAATCGAGAAGGAGCGATTTCTGGTGGATGCGAAAATAAAGTAGAAGTGACTGCAACCCGACAACAATTTTTTTTTATGCAAGTGGACGCAGAAGTTTCTTTTAGTAGACACGTGGCTACAGTTCCCTCTTTATACGTGCACTTCAACGTGAGTCTGCAATGAATTGGTCCCTCCAAATTTCTAACTAATCCCCTGATGAAGGGAGGACCCCTCCCGAAACTGTTGGGAAATAAATATATTTATCCCTGTTGACAACGCTCCCGTTGTGCCATATCCCATACCTTCACGAAGACTAACTGGCCCATTGAATTATTACTCCCACTATATATATATATATATATATATATATATATATATATATATATATATATATATATAAACTGACACTTTCATAATCATACTTCTGATTTCACTTGCATATTTTAGCACAAAAGTGGAAAATAACACTGAGGCCAGCACAGTGCATTGCGTGTAACGCTCACCCTGTGTTCTCTTCAGTATTTCTCACCACTTTTGAATTACCTTTAAAGTGCAATTTCCACTTATGACATGACATTAAAGCGAGTGTGATCGAAACAATGCAGTATGTACTAGACTGCGCCGATTGACTTGGAGAAAATGCATTAGCTCCTTAGCGTACCTACAGGTTTCAAAAGTTCAATATGTAGGTAAACAGTGGGAAGTCCCAAAGCATGAACTCGTCAAAAATTACCCGAAAGTATTTTGGTACAGAAAAAATTTCAATAACGTGAGAAATTTGTAACTGTGTGCTGGAACTGAAGTTTCGCCTAGTGAACTTTTTAGAAGCCCTAAAAGTGACAAAAACGTCGGCTCCCGCGCACACACTTTTACGAATTTCTCCTCGCAAGCTTCCATCTTCCCTTTCCTGTATATTTTTTTTAATTCAAGGAACGAGCCGTTCAGGAGCCTAATGCCACCGAAGTTGTAGGGGTAGGTCACCGATGTTACACAGTACAGAATATGGTCACTAACGGCTCATTGAATTGACGGAAAAATTACTGAACACGTTCTTATTAAGGGCATACTTCATTTGCAATATGTGTCAACAAAACGTCACATACTAAATGCAGAACAGTCTCGCTCTGAAGCTATGGAAGAAAACAGCCTAAAGTCTGCCGAGAAGTCAGCCGAAGTCTATTGAATTCTGTATAAACTAGCGTCATGAAAGACTCAAAAAAGAAAAACATTTTTTTGCATTAGCAAAATACTTTCACAAAACCATAGTGAACATGCTTGCCATAAAAAACCAATTGGTAAGCGAGAAAATGAACAAAACGAAATGTGGGTGGCGACTTTCTTTTGACGACAAGGCAGTTGGGGCAGGAATTTCACATTTTGACGGTGTCGACTAGGGCCTACACGTAGTTTTAACGGGCAAAATACGCCGTCCTGGAAGACGCAAGGGGCTTCGCCTAACATGTTTCAATGAATTTTGTTGAGCGAGTGTCGACACAATAGGGAAAAAAATTGTATTAAAACCCAATAACGCAGGCACAGAAATATCGTGGTTAAACCTAAAACAGAATTCATTTTTTAGTATTATGCCTACGATTGAGAATACAGGCCTAAATGACGTTATTTTCACTAATAAAACCGGTACTTTATTGCAGACCGGCTAGTTAAGTCGTAAGTTAAGGATCAGGTAAGGATAACTTGTTTGTGAAACGCGTTAAGGTGAAATCGAATTGGCACGGAAGCACCGGAAAGTAAAGTACAGCTACTGGCTACTTCAAGTGCTACTTTCGCTGTTTCTCGTCAAACAACATGGCGGCCCAATATGGCAATGTCTCCGACCTCGCCAGCTTTGATGGTAGTGTTGAATTGATACAAAAGAAGCATATCTTTATGTGCCACCATTACGCCTCAAATGACGTAGGATTCTCGTCATGGTACCCCTTTTACAAGTGAGTGGTTTGAGTATACGCCTGTTGCGAATCCTGCCGCTGGGCCCGAAGAACAACAAACGTAGTCACCGCATTACGCTACAGCATGCCAATGACAAGAGTGATATACATTTCGAAGGGGAGGTTTTTCAATTCTTCGTTCAAATGTTACAATGTAGCGTTCACAGCATCTCGGTAGACGCAAGCTTCGTTAGATATGGCTGGCAGGCCACAATCGTGGAGCTCATGGAGGCCGCCGGAGCTAAAGCACCTCTGTTGACGGCCTTCGTCTGCGGACTAGCTGTGGACGCCCGAATAAACTGTGTCGGTGTAAGCGGAGAACTCTCGCCTGTTCTTTAAATCATTGTTTCCTTTAACATGACAACACTTAATTTTTAGAGCCATCGTGTGTGTTCTATGTTAATAATTGAAGTATGGCCCATTTTCTGCATTGCAGCACTGGGTGATTTTTTTTTTCTCGAAGAGGGAAAGGCTAGTATGGTGACAAAAGAACCACTCGTATTGCATATGATCTCCCCGCTGTAACAAACACTTTGGGACAACCACTTTATAGTGACGGCGGCTCAGCGGCAGCGACTTGCTGTGGCCAGCCAAAAGCTTAGTTACTAATGCGAGAATTGTTTATTCCAATTTTTACCAAATGTGCCTCTATATGAAGTATAGCGTTTATGGCTAGTGTTCCGCGAAAATAACGGCAATTTATTGGTTCTTTAAATACTGAAACAAGTGTGAAGAGAGTTATACTTATTCAGAAAAGTGACTCCTAAATGACTCTTGGGAACGATTGATTGATTGATTGATTGATTGATTGATTGATTGATTGATTGATTTGTGGGGTTTAACATTCCAAAACCACGATATGATTATGAGAGACGCCGTAGTGGAGGACTCCGGAAGACTCTTGGGAGCGAGGCTATAAGTGAACCTTAGGGGGAGTTTTTTGAAACTTAACTGAAGCTTATCATTTCCCTCATGATACTTTCACAAGTGTAACTTATCACGCAACTTAAGTTTTGTTGTTGAAAACGGGCCTCGGCGTTCTTGACCCTAATACGACTCTAAACCAATTCACTGTGTCACTATTGTGTCCCTTTCAATGAAACATTACCTTCACCTAGAGTTTATTCTCTGCTCCAAATATAGAGTGGCCTTTGTTCTACCCAGGGAAGATAGGTATACCCGTCACTTTACTTAAAGCGCATAACACATATACAAAGCAAGTACAAATAAAGCAGTATGTAGGAATACACGCTGGTTAGCTAGAGTTTCCGGTACAATGTACTTTCCTTTGCACGAAACAAAAAAAAAAGTGTTCTATTCAACAACAATTTTGTGGAAGTACAAAGAAAGTTATGTTCCCGCAGTACATGCCACAGTGAAGAAGGAAGTTTCTAGCGACATCATAGCCTCGTTTCATCGTAAAAACAAATAAGCTCAAGTTTTTACCCCTTTAAAGTACCATAGCCTATAGACTACATGATGGTGCAACGTCCTCGTTAAATGGTTAAAAGTGAAAGACATTAAAATATATGCATTACATTCTAGTGCAGTCTTGCACCTGTATTAAAATAAATCATGCACGAATGAATTCGGCAAGGCTGCGCATCAAGACTGCGCGAGCAAACCAAGGCTGGAGAAGCAGCTCTTCCAAAAACCAGCGCTGCCAGTCACGGCCAATCGAAGATACGACAATGTATTGGCCGCTACAGCGGTCGGAGCCACGCCGGATGCGAACCTCTTGCACGCCGGACCAAGAGCAGAGCAGGCAAGCAACTTCGTCTTGGCTGTGGACCAGTAGGTCCCATAAGGCCGGGTTGGACACCTGCGCCAGAGGTCGCCCCGTACATTAGGCCAGCGATTCGCTAGCCGAATGAGGTGGAGCACTGTGTTGCCAACACACATTTACTTGATCAGCTCTCTTTGGATCATGGTGGTGCAATAAATGAAAAATTTTCGCATTGTGTATTAAGTCCTTGAGTTGAACTAGGCACAATAAGGAGATGATGGCGGCTAGTTGCTACGTCTTCACGCTTATGATGCGCTGCAAAGCATGAAAAAAACGAGAAATGACACAGGGAGCGCCTGCCCCTGTGTCTTTTTCAGACCTTGCACTGCATCACAAGCATGAAGAACTAAGAGCTTCCGAATTTCTTACGTTATGTGTACGACAAACTCTCGTAGCTCACTACTTCCACAAGGGAGCAACTCATTGCTTCGGTCGTTGTGCACTGCAAAAGCATAGCACATTGCTTAAAAGTACACCTTTAAGCAGTCACCGCAACCTAATTCTGCAGGCACTGGTGCTATCTTACCGCACCACACCCCTCGTGGTAGGGCCTACGTGCTGCCCCACGGGTTACCCCACCAGCACAGCCTCAAGTTAGGCTGCTTTACAATTTACTTAAGAAACTGCCCGATACGGCAACATGCCAACACAGGTTCATATTACAAGCGCAGGAAGAGCAGTGACCTATAGACATGTGTAAAGAATTGTTTATTATGACGGCAGTGGCAAACAGTGAGCACTGTTCAGGTAAGCGTGCACATTTGTCATAAGGGGATGATTGTAGTTTCCATGTATTCGTAGTTCTAACATTGAGGCTCGCCCTTTGTGGTCTGACAGGGTATATACCCATTTTAAATGAATAGTAACTTATAATATTACTTTAAATGTAAGTGCGGTCGCTGCGCTGAAGGCTACAAAAAAGCAACAATGCTGCACCAGTAATAAGCGATGTTCTGGCAGTTGAAAGGACCCTTAACACCAAACTTGAAAACTCTAGATGCTTGTGTTGTTTCATAGTCCTGCATACGGAGACTCCTCTGACCGACTATTAGTGGCTAGCATAGCCTAGAAGATATATTTTTATATCGCGCGGGGCAGATTGCGTTCAAACCCACCTTTTTTTCAGCGCGGGGCAGATTGCGTTCAAACCCACCTGCGGCGCGGAGCTGCAGCGAAATGGGAAACTAAAAGGAGACAACTAAGCTGTGCTCCTAGCAGTTACGAAAATGTGTGATTGGTGGCAATCTTTCTGCTGCTAACAGCATACACACGTATTTTCACAAGTCGCCACTGTGGCGCACCACATGCGCAGTAAGAGGCTATCCTACATGCATGCGTGCACGAATATGCATGCCAGCGTTTTTTAGGACTTCATAGTGTATGAATAAAATACCTTGCAAGCCGTACTTCATGGTTAAACGAAAATTTAGGCCCCATAATGCATGTGGACAGGCAATATTTAGCCTGTTTGTTTTAAATAGGCTTGGAAACTGGCATACCCCTACTAGCAAAGCAGTTTAAGTGTATACATGGTGAGATACCAGGAGCTGGAAAGCTGGGCTAGTTAATTCATTAGCGAAGAAAGTATTCGCTCTTGTACAGCTTCATTGAAGAGAACAATTTTGACAACTTTTGCAACAATCTAGTTTTTCGCCTAAACAGAATGGGAAGCAAGAAGCATCTTTACACATGCAAAAAAGTGCTCAGACAGTGGAGCCAATAACAAGTCATAGACACTGGTTTATATCTCCTCGGATTTTTAGGCAAATTTCATCGAGGGCATGAACAGCTGAGAAGCCATTAGGAGGACACTGGCTATAAAAGTATAATGTGGAACAAGTTAACAAGCTCTTTTTCCCAGAGCGAACTCCACACAAATACAACTAACTAAACATTTCAGCATATTTCCGCTGCATCAATAAATTGAGCTTATCACGTGACCAAAATACAAAGACTGTGTGCACGTAGATCAATCTCTGGTAGGCCACAGAAGACAGGCCAAAAATCCTATCCGATGAAAAAAGGTACTCATCAAAAACGACTCCTCTGGCTAAGTTACAGTGCCGTACTACTAATCGCCTAGCTTCTAGAGCATTTACTATTGAACAATGAGATCCCACGTGTTTCTAAGGGTGGCATTTATTTGTGCTGGGAAGCCACATGCTTTCTAGGGCGATGCTGCATTTTTGCGAAAATGTATCAGTGGGTCTCGGCTACCAAAATCTACTGCCGTCTTTGTGTAGCAAACTTCTTTTGAAGAGATTTTGTCGCCTATATATATTTCCCATTCAGGTATGGCAGATCGCCATTCCTCCTTTCGACAGATGGTGCCACGTCCAGATGTCCGCAAATCCCGAGAATGCAAACCCGTAAAATAAAAAGCGGCTTACCTTAATGCGGACAGAGTTGCCTTCTTTTATCTCCTGAATGGGTTCGTGAAGGCTGGCGTCGCAGTTCAGGCCTAGGTGACAGAGATCGCACAAGATAGACAACATGCTGTAAGTCCTGAGTGCAGCCATTGTTAGGGTGTGGGTCTGTGATGACCGGCTACAGGCATCACATTCAGGAAAGACAACGGAAGAACTGCTCACGTAACGCAGAAAAGAAGTGACGTAATGACCAGTGGAAAGTGGCTTCATATTATCTGGGTCATTTTGAGCATGAGCGCATTCCTCGGCTTGCACACTTTTGGCAAAGAGCTTTTCCAGACAATCTTTGCAAATACGTGCACAATTCACGGCTTTCGTCTTCAGTATCAAGTCTTCTTTCTCAGCCCACTTCAGTACTACTCCTAGTGCCACCTTCTTGGCCACGTGTTCAGATGCAGCAGCCGCCAGCTGATCATTCAGCCGAGATACGAGAAGGTTCTTGCTTGTGCGCTCTACTCGAAATGAACTCGACTCCATGACGAGGAGAATGACGTCCGCGAAAGACCAAGGGAAGCTGGAATAGGTCTTCTGTGCATTGCAGTAAGTCACCATGTAGCACGCGGATGCCATCCTCAGAAGAATCTGCTTTTTATCCTCTTCTGACATAGCATTTTCCGTGCGACATGCATAGTCAACTTCTTTGAAGAATCGCTCCCTTGTCGACTCTACTATCGCTCGGTACTGCTTCGCGACAAGAACTTCAACGTTACTCTTGTCATAGTGGCCTTTGTTGGAGGCCGATACGTCGTTTATGTACCCAGACACAATCTCTGCTTCACTTTTTATACCATACTGCTTGAGGATGCGATCCATGTCGGACTGGTGCGCAGCCAACAGCTCTTCTGCAATAAGCTTGTAACGGTTCCATCCGCACAATTCCAGCAGTTTTATATTATTGCCACTGTCAACTAGGTGGCTGTGGAATTTGGAGCTAACGACAGACTCTAGAAACCTTTGAAATCTGTACAAGTGGCCAAGAACTCTACTGGAGCGGTACGTGTTTTTGTGAGCACCCTTATCCATGAAGTCTGGGTATTCTTCGGGCCTTTCGTTCCTTTCCAAAAGAGCGGGAACACCAGTCTTTGCAAAGTCGAGACAAGTTGAGATTTTCTTCGCAATAGAGAGACATGGCTTTGAGAACACTCCCCTTTCAAGCTTGTCAGCCAGGGCCAGATGGGCGTTGGACATGATACCAACATTGTCGTTCAGGATGTAGTCGGAGATGAACTGCGCCATGCTGTCGACCTTCAAAAGAGTGCGAAAAAGGAAAATAAAATGTCTCGCAAACAGCTTTCAAAGCGTTTCATGACAACGCGTCGGTGCCGACAGGCTTGAGAAAAGCTTATGCGGCGTATAGTAAAGATGTCACGAGGGTAAATTAAAACATTACCATGTAAATCGCACGGAGTAAAATAAGCGCAATAAACGAGTTAGTCAAGGAAAAACGAGACGACATACTTCCTTTTGTACTTATCTGTTCATTCTTCAACCAGAAAACCACGAACTTACACCACAAATTTTACACTCCTTTTATCTAACGCTTTTGTGACAGGAGTTTGTAATGGATACGTATAATCAACTGCAAGCAGGTGCAACATCATCTGGAATGATCGCTTTTCCAGTATGTAGCACCGTTCAAACCGTGAGCAGACGTACGCCTTACCAGCATGCGAGCACACTGAACAAGCACGTGCACCGTCTTGAATTGGTCTATATTGTTGGACCAGTAACTTTAGTACTCGTCACTCCTTTCCGATAAAATTTCGTTAATCAACATCAGCTCTTCTTTGGCGCGAGTGGTGTCGCTGCAATTATCTGCAGTGCACTGTAAGCAGTGGTGTCTTAAGGCATCCCCACTATCGTCCAAAAGCAGCGTAACCAATCTCTCAGTCGGTTTCTTTATTCTGAGAGGAAGTTTCAGTAATAATCATCGTCACTTCAACAATAGAGTTGAAGCCACAGTGAAAGTTGAAGGGGCCCCGAAACCCTTTTTTAAGTAACCATGGAATTAATTCACTCGGAGAGCTTAGTTTTGCGAATTAAACGCCGCAAAAATACTCGGAAACCGTCAAATGCAAGTGGAGTTACAGATATTTATCGCATGCTGCAATTTCATCCTCTCTTTTTTCCCGACAAAAGCACTGGAAGCTAAGCAGGGAGGGATGGCAGGGGCAAAGAAAACACGACCCCGGCGCCTCGTGAATGAGCACTTTTAGGCGCGAAGCTACTTATGGCGTCGCCCGATCGTCCGGTTATTGTCTGTAACCGCCGCTCGTTAAGTCTACCATCCGGCCATAGATTGTGCTCCGTGTAATCAGGACGAATGCACATACGCTTAGATTTACGTCATACGTACGGAAGGAGAGAGAGAGACGGTCGCGCCACAGTGATCGCATACTCTTAGGCTGTGCCGTGCGCCAGGGGGTGCTCTCTAGTACAGTAACAGCACCGTTTTGGCGCGCGCACGCGCGTTCAGAGGGTCGACGGATGGACAAGGATACCGAGTGGCGTTTGCGCTGGGCGGCGGCTGCTCGCTCTCGAAGAAGCCACCCCACCATGCTGGCGCGAGAGGCCGAAGCGCGCCGAGAAGCTGTGCGGCGGCGCCGCGACGACCCTGAAGCACAACAGGAGGCCGAAGCGGCGCAGCAGCGGCGTGCGGACCCAGCTTCGTCCCCACTCTTCATCATTCCCTCAGTCAATATGCCGTTATTTTTTTCCTTCGAATGCGCAGAGTGTGTTCACACGCGCACTCGCGAACAAGTCGCAGCCACTCGCGGCGATCTCTAACTACCAAGCGTGCCATGTTCAAATCAACCAATGTCTGATAGATGGGCTTTCTACGAGCGATGTTTGAGAGTCTTCGATCATTTGCCGAGCAAACAGAAAGCAATTTTTAGCCGTCTTTGATAATATATTGTTATTTCCAGGCCGCGTGCTGCTCTGCATTATTTGGCTCGCGTGTTGTCGGGAGCCTCTACTACTGATCAGCAGCGTTTTCTGACTATGCTCAAAAAGTGTGGCAGGGCCCCTTTAAGGCATGCCTCGGCAGACGTGTCTGTGAAGAACATAATTACCAGATTAGGCTCCGATCGTTGTGGAAGTAGCTTCTGACCGTACACCATAGGCTCTCTGTTTGGCCCCGGAAAGAAAAGACTCTCGTCCCAGATGACAATATACTCGTCTCCATCCAAATCAGAACCTGCATAGGAAAAGATGTTGACCTTTTTCGGGTGAACGATGATTAGAAAAGGACTGGTATAAAGCACCCATACGAATCTTTTTCGACAGCAGTTACCATTCACGCATCAAATTAGTACCATGCACTTCGCAGATCTCGCCGACAGTACGACTGTCTACAAGCTCGACTGTTTTCGCTATGTTATGCTACGTACTACACTGTCTAGCGCTATTGCTCACAAATTGCAATCACATCACAGACGTTTACCTAAGCTAATTTCCTCCTTCCAAGGGGGAAGAAATTTTACGACAATGTCATGGTGGCATTGCTGAACGATATGCTTCGTTGAAGAATAGTTTAGTAGTTTGGTCTCTTCTATAAAACGAAATTTTTGTTTTTAGTCTTTTCGAATATGATACTTACTTTGGCTATAGAGCTTAAGTTTGCATCAAATGACTTTAGAACACAATCCTGCTTACATTGCGTAATAATCCGCGGAACACCGCGTGAGGTAGATTTGTTTCATCAATAGCAAACGCATTTCACAATCCACAGCTATATTTCAGCTGCGTAGCGTAAATAAAATTACGAAATACGGGGTAGCTTAAGCAAACCAGTGCTACGATACGGTTTAAGTTTTGTGGTTATTTAAGGGGGCATCAAGAACAAACTAGTGTCGCAGAATATATATACAGAAAACGTCTGAATACGAGGCGGATGCGTATGAGAATTTCGCTGTTGAAATACAACGAACTTTGCTTCTGTCACGCTCATTCTCTAGTATTCACATACCGGTTATTATTAATCAGAGGATCGACTTGCTTTAAATGTAGTTTAGGTGAAGCTGCAGAAATTCGGGGACGTCATCAGTGGAGATAATGTACCTCTCACACCGACATAAGATGCCACCTTACCGCCACCACCTCCAGCACGTACAAGTCTTGTAGGAGACTTGTTCGTTCTACACACCTGCGAAGTGCGCTATGCCACACGCGAAATATCTCCTTAAAAAACGATGTGTTTTGGCTACGATAGCTTCTGAAAATTATGAATATAGCAGTTGTTTGTTTTTCTAAGCTGCGTGTGCGCAGGTATCCTCGACTGATCGATGCAGATATTTTTAGCAATTGTACGTAATCGATGGGGCAAGTGCAGCCCCGTCAGAAACTTCTTGAATACTACGTGCAATTTCCACCTATTGTGGTTCGAACCACTCCCAACAAAGTCATTTACGAGAACACTACTTGCGAACAGAACCCATCATTCCTTAAAGCCCCAGGACGAGATCTATGGGCTCAACCATGACGCCCTAAAAATGTGACGGCTTATAGTGACCTTAATTTTGCCCGTCCAAAGTAAATAAAAAAGCTAACATTCGTATTATGGTTTTGGGGCATAAGATGCCAGATAATATAAAGACGCTGAATTGGGCGGATTCAGAAAATGACCACCTGGTATTTACGTGCAGTGACATCGCACGGTACACTGGCCTCATCACGATGAAAAATCCAGAAGTGGAGCGAGGGTTATGGGAGGTTGCGCCTAAGCATAGACAATCTACACATGCAGGAGGTCAACGTTAAGGAGGCTCTCCCATCTGCACATGCATGTATCAAAGGTTGTCAACTTGCCTGCCATTTCATCAGGATGGGGCCTCCATCCATTTGCTGGGAAAACAATGCAGTCTTTGATGTGATGAAGTGCAGTTACATCAACTGCAGTGAATTTCCTCACGTCGCCAGGATGAAGACACGGACACTTCGTCACCAGCACAGATCCTGTGAAATTGGGAATTTTATATTTCACTACTGAATTATGCAGTCATTTTTCTGCTCATGTACAAGGGAGGAATGAAGAGGATATCAGCGAGGATAACCAAGTTTTGGCTCGATTAACTATCCTACAGTTGGTTTGGGCGGAAGGGGAAGAGGAATAAGAGATACAGGGAAAAAAGGAGGGTAAGAAAGATAGATAGTTTGAGACTACATGGCACGATCTCGCGATGTTCGTTCACAAGTGCTCGTGAAGCCCGGTGGTCCTCAAGAAGCACAAGAGAACTTTCATAGCCTTGTGCGCATGCGAGACCGTCGGCCAAGGTACCAGGAAGTGACTTTAGCGACTGATTGAGGAACTTCTTTCTTTGAATAAATTTAAATACCGAGCACAAGCACGCACTCTGCGATAGGAATAGCGTAAGAAGTTAGAATGGAGGACTAAGAGCTACAACAGTTGTCAAAAATTCACAAGCGCTCCTTGCTTTGAGCGTACTGGTCTGTCGCGTAAACGACAACTTCACTCAACATTAATAGGAAAATTTCCAAGTAAGCATGCGAATGTTCTCGTGGACGAGCAGAAAGGTTGATGATTCCAGAGCTTTATAGGCAATGGTGCAAGGCTTACCAAAAGGAACTCACTTTCGTTTATTCAGCGACGAAATTGAACGTGTTTGTTGGGAATGCTAAGCGTGCGCAAAAGAGAAGAATACCGATAAAGCGTGGTCGAGTTATAGCGTAACAGACAAATGACTGAAAGACAACAGCTGAGTCGGTACTTGTTCGTCATTGTTGTATTTGATTTTGCTCTGTGGGCGAAATCCTTCCAAGTCTGCTCAGAGGGAAGCTAAGTGATCAGAGGTGCGATGGTGTTAAATACGATCTGTTGAAACTGAACAGTTCATAGTCTCTAATACAAGACAATGTCAATATAACAACCCCTAAAAGCTTGCTTTGTCATTATTTAGCTTCGTCAAACAGTACCTACAGCGATTCTGGAAGAGTAGTTCAGTCACTTGTATTTAAATGTTAGCCCATGCATCTGCGCTCTCAGACCATAGCCCACTAATGTACAAAAGCAGGGATGGGCCACTTTCAAACAGTGGTCTACCCACATCTATAACTAAGGCGTGTCGTGCTCTGAACGGCAGCGACATCTAGTGTCGGAGAAGGGCCACTCTTGAGCATGTGTAGAGCCAATGACTGGTCTGCCTTGTATTTTCCGTCCTTTATCGTCGCAGCGGAGATGACGGTTTTGATCATCAGAAGTGCTTCCGTATCGGTGCACTTCATACTATGAACCTCATCCATGCCTTAATTTTGTTCAATTATGTTTATTTTTGTTATTCCACCAAACTATTTTGAGTGCGTTCGATGGCCAAGTCGTTGCTGGGTCACGCTTGACATAGATTAAAGATCAGAAATTCAAGCGAGCCTCGTCGTTGGCGCCGTGCATGCTCAGATGTGTCTTACCTATTTACTACTGCAGATATCGATCGCGGAGTTCCGCTCGCGACGCTCAGTCGTTCTTGGCTTGAGAGTTCACCACGATATACTTAGCGACGCTTCTAAATATATGAAGGGGTTTACCAACCCAAGACCACGATATGTATATGAGGGACGCCGTTGTTGAGGGCTTCTGGACTTTCAAGAACCTAAGGTTCTTTAACGTCCACGGGCCTGAAGTATTTACTCCACAATGCTCCTATAGCTTAAGATCTATGCCAGTTGCTTTTATTGTACTTCAAGATACCTGTCAATACTGTAGTCTCAGGTCCATTGTCATGGGGGCCTTCAGGAGTCAGGGAAGTGTACTGCACGAAAACTTCGCCATAATTCAGCGTCCGGGTCTCATCCAGCACGCCGAACATGTTCCGCCCCATGTCAGGCGGCACAGCTATGCGGGACTTTGACAACAGAGACTCTGGAACAGACAAAATGGTACGTTCCTGAAAAAGTGCCTTGCGTACAGCTCTATCTTTTGCATCATTTTTTGCAGTCAAAGTCAGTACATTACAAAGGCAAGCAAGTATACCAGAGCAGATGGCGTCTGAACAACCTTCAACTAGCATAATCACCGGATTTACGCTTAGCTGTAATACACTACTTTTTAGATTACAATATGTGCAGCCCTGAACTGCCACATCACGTCTCTGCTTACTATCACAGATAAAGGCACTAGGATCTTAAGAAAAACCACCACAGAAAGGAAATAGTGCCTCTTGTTCAAGCATGAAGATTAATGACAAAAAAACTTGGTTAATCAAGTCTACATAAACAGAAGCTTTCAAGAGGCTGCAAGGACGATTGTCTTCTACTAACATAACGAGAACTGCCAGCAAGTGCAGTATGCCACTCACACTTTGGGGTCTACTCGTTAGAGAATTGAAGCAGCTGAAGGGTTTATTTTCATAAGTACGTAGACAAACTACAGAAAAGGGACACTAAACTGAATCAACGAATTCCTGTATATGTAAGGAATTGAGTATCGCGAATTTCACCTTCATGCGTCTGTAAATAAAGCAGGAAATGGAAGCACAAGTCGCATTCTTATATTTCGCCTGAAATCAACACGCATGACATCACTGAATTCAAAGCGCAGGTTTGCTATTTTCGAGGCTTAGCTTCCACAGAATTTCTCAATACTTCATTGTTTTTTAGAGTGCCATTGACGAAACATACGCAATTCATTTTTACTGAATAGGAAGTCCGTAGGAATATACAAACGTAGGTAAAATTCATGACATAAGGGCGTTTTCTGAGGGCATTCGAAAGTGGTGTCGCCATCCGTAATATCTTTTAGCGTGTTTTCTCGCTACCAATGAGTCTGCACAACAAGCGGCATGATTTTAGAATTTTAGAGGATTTTCGTAAAATCAGAGAAATCAGACAATTTTAGTGCTCATTTAGTGTAATTCTTGGAAGGCAATATTGTCGTGCAAAGGATACAAGATGACTTAAGTTATCACTGGCCGCTGTATTGACTTTGAAGCTGCACAAGCAAAAAATAAGTATTTATCCCAATGAAAAGTACTCAGTGGGAGAGCTAAGATAAAAAGGCTTATTTGTAGTTTAAGCATCGGCTGTGGAAGAAAAGAAGTCACTGAAGGTCATGTACCGCTATGGGGCTGCTACTGTCGCTCACCCATCGATGTCCTGTACACCGCGAAGAGCATCGAGCGCACGAAGGGGTCCCGAGTAAGAGAGAAGCCGTATCGTGCCAGCTGATTAAACGGGAGCGCAGAGCCCACGTAGGTGTCGAGGACCTGGAGCGCGCTCCTGTCGCAGACGAGGGATTCTGTGAGGAGCGTGACCATGTGCTGCTGCAGGCAGAAGAACATGCGGCTCGGCACCCCGAGCTGTTCCAGGAGTGTGATCAGCTGCCGGTTGAGAAAGACCACACCTGTGATGAAAAAGACTCGGCTGCACTGGCGACTGCATGTAGTAATGTTTTGCAACACTTCTCCACTCCGAGTTATTTGACCTCCTGTGGTCTTTAGAGCGGCACTGTCTAACAGTTGATACCGCAAGAACTCGCTACTGCGTGGGGTCATTCCGCTGCAAGCCCTTTATTACAGGGACACTATGTTAGGTGCGGCGATGGCGTAGTGGTTAGAGCATCCGCCTCGCATGCAAAAAGTCCGTGGTTCACATCCCCGTGCCGCGCAGTTCCCAACCGGATAAAAAAAATCCGCGTGGTGATGGAACTGCATTAAGAGGCCTGGGGTGCGGCCTCACCGGTAACCACCGCCAGGAACGCACTCCCTCACCAGAGAAGGATTGGCCACCCTGGTTCAGTATCTGGCCACTACCTCCCACATGCATACGTCAAATAACTCGCAGCCCTCAGTCCCCAGCAGCTGCGAAGCAACTGACCACGGCAGTGGTCAGACCTGCAACGCATCAGAGGGTGCTAAGAATCTCTGGATCTGGACAGGCCGCCATTGAAACCTGAACTTGGCAACATTTAACGCTAGAACTTTGTCTAGTGAGGGAAGTCTAGATGTACTATTCGAGGAGCTAGAGGGTGTTAAATGGGATATAATAGGGCTCAGTGAGGTTAGGAGGACAGATGAGGCCTATACGGTGCTACAGAATGGGCACGTCCTTTGCTATGAGCGCTTGACTGACAAGCGAACTGGGAGTGGGGTTCCTAATTCACAGAAACATAGCTGTCAACATAGAGGAATCCTATAGCATTATTGAAAGGGTGGTAGGTATTGTAATTAAACTCAATCAGAGATACAAGATGAAGGTGGTACAGGCTTACGCGCCTACATCCAGCCATGATGACGCTTCAGTTGAAAGCTTCTATGAAGACATGGAATCGGCAATGAGTAAGGTAAAAACACAGTATACTATGCTCATAGGAGACTAATGCAAAGGTAGGGAAGAAGCAGGCTGGAGACCAGGCAGTAGGAGAATATGGCATCGGTACTAGAAACGCCAGAAGAGAGCTACCAGCAGAATTCGCAGAACACAATAATTTGCGGATTTGGAATACCTTCTACCAAAAACGAGAAAACCGCAAGTGGACATGGAGGAGCCGTAATGGCGAAAATAAGAACGAGATAGACTTTAATGAGTGCACACCCAAGCATCGTGCAGGATGTGGAAGTGGTTGGCAAGGTACGATGCAGTGACAACAGAATGGAATGACACGGTCTCGAATTCACCTAGACTTGAGAAGGAACGACAGAAACTGCTACGCAAGAAGCCAATCAGTAAACTAGCACTGAGAGGGAAAGTACAGGAATTCAGAATCTCGCTTCAGAACAGGTATTCGGCTCTTAGTGAGGAAACAAACCTTAGCGTTGATACAATGAATAATCTTACGAGTATCATTACGGAGTGTGCAGTGGAAGTTGGCGGCAGAGTAGTTAGACAGGACACTCGCAAGCTTTCCCAGGAAACGAAGAACCAATTTAAGAAGCGTCAAATCATGAAAGTCTCAAGTACAACAGACAAAATAGAACTAACTGGCAGAGCTTTCGAAGTTGATTATTAGGCGTAAGGTATGCGATGTAAGAAGGTATAACATGGAGAGAATTGAACACGCTCTGAAAAACGGAAGAAGCGTCACAGCAGTGAAGAGGAAACTTAGGATAGGCAAAAGTCGGATGTATGCACTAAGGGACAAAGAAGACAAAATAACTATCAATATGGATAGGATAGTTAAAATAGCGGAGGAGTTTTGCAGAGATCTGTACAGTAGCCGAGACAACCACGACCTTAATACTATAAGAACTAGCAGTAACCCAGATGACACCCCACCAGTAATGATAGAAGAAGTCAGAAAAGCTTTAGAGAGCATGCAAAGAGGCAAAGCTGCTGTGAGGATCAGGTAACATCAGATCTGCTGAAAGATGAAGGACAGATTATGTTAGAAAAACTATCCACCCTGTTTACGAGGTGTCTCCTGACGGGAAGAATACCAGAGTCTTGGAAGAATGCTAACATCCTAATACACAAGAAAGGAGATGAAAAGAACTTGAATTACAGGCCGATCAGCTTGCTCTCTGTAGTATACAAGCTATTTACAAAGGTAATTGCTAACAGAGTAAACATTAGAATTCAATCAATCAAAGGAACAAGCAGGATTTTGAACAGGCTACTCAACAATCGACCACATTCAACCTATCAATCAGGTAATAGAGAAATGCCCAGAATATAACCAACCACTATACATAGCCTTCATAGATTACGAGAAGGCGTTTGATTCAGTAGAAATATCAGCCGTCATGCAGACGGTGCGGAATCAGGGCATCGATGAAGTATATATAAACATCCTGGAAGAAATCTACAGGGGATTTACTGCTACCATAGTGCTTCATAAAGAAAGCAACAGAATACCAATCAAGAAGGGTGTAAAGCAGGGGGACACAATCTCCCCAATGCTATTTACCGCGTGCTTACAGGAAGTTTTCAGAGGCCTAGAATGGGAACAGTTAGGCATGAGAGTTAATGCAGAGTACCTTAGTAACCTTCGCTTCACCGATGGCATCACATTGCTGAGTAAGTCAGGAGAAGAATTGCAACTCATGATTACGGAGTTAGACAAGGAGAGCAGAAAGGTGGGTCTTAAAATTAATCTGCAGAAAACGAAAGTAATGTACAACAACCTCGGAAGAGAGCAGAATTTTGAGATAGGTAATAGTGCACTTGAAGTTGTAAAAGACTGTCTACCTAGGATGGGTAATAACCGCGGAGCCGAACCACGAGGCTGAAGTAACTAGAAAAATAAGCATTGGGTGAAGCACATCTGGCAAGCACTCTCAAATTATGACAGGTAGATTGCGACTATCCCTCAAGAGGAAGGTATATAAGAGCTGTATCTTGCCGGTACTTGGCTACGGAGCAGAAACCTGGAGACTTACAAAGAGCGTTCAGCTGAAATTGAGGACGACGCAGCGAGCAATGGAAAGAAAAATGGTAGGTGTAACCTTAAGAGACAAGAAAAGAGCAGGACGGATTAGGGAACAAACGGGGGTTAAGGATATTATAGTTGAAATCAAGAAGCGGAAATGGATATGGGCTGGGCATGTAAAGCGTAGACAGGAGAACCGCTGGTCATTAAGGGTAACTAACTGGATTCCCAGAGAAGGGAAGCGGGTTAGGGGGAGACAGAAGGTTAGGTGGGCAGACGAGATTAAGAAGTTTGCGGATATAAATTGGCAGCAGCAAGCATAGGACCGGGTTAACTGGCGGAACATGGGAGAGGCCTTTGTCCTGCAGTGGCCGTAGTCAGGCTGATGATGATTATGTTTAGAACAGACGTCCAATGTTGATTACCTGTGACTGCAATATTAACAGTGTCGTTGCATTATAAAATCTGAAGTGTTACGTCCGCGGGCAAGCGCTATAACCCCTGCTCCACCGCGGCGGACAGTATCGTTTCAGTGATGTAAGAAAAGCATATTGCATTTACGAAAGCAAGTCAACTATGGAAGCGCAAACAATCACCGAGTCCAGTTTCATCCTACATGCACAAGCTCTCTCTGCGAGTTTTTTTACGACACCGATTGCATGAACACATCTTCGAGTAATGCCAGAGTATTTCGGTAAAAATATTTGAAATAAACGCACGTCAAACCATTTACAAGTTCATGATTGCATGGAGAGCCCTAAAGTACGTAATAGATGAAGTTGATTATTTATTACTATATATTATTACAATTTCGCACATAAACTGCCACTAATGCTGTACCATAGTAGTGAAATGTGTTGATGCATCACGTTGATGAGAACAGGGTGTATATAAATACAAGACCTTATGTGGAGGTTAACAAACCATGGATGTAAACTTTGGTAGTTTGTTCAGAGCCATGGTTTTCTTTGGAAGATTTATTACAAAGTCTACTTTGTGTTCTTTCTCATTCTCTTACTCAAGGCTTTATTGGAAGTTTATGTGTGAACCATGTTCAGAACATGCTTGCACTTCAACAACTAGAACTGTACGAGGATGAAGGACTCCCTCGAGCCATTGCCAAATGGCTTTTCCCTTCACCTCCAATCTCGTGTGCTGTAGTGAATCAAATATAAGTGGGAGGCTCCGCAAACCTAGCTGGCGTTGTATATAATTCTTTTAAAGGGAGCAATTTTATTATTTAGCAATATTCAGGAAACGTTGTAAAGCTATAAGGTTCTATGCAGGGAAGTATGAAAGAAAGGTTGACCAACCACTGATTTCATATCTTAAGCTTGGTTTAGTTCTGATTGCTGATCAAGCTAAGTTTTTAACTAAAGGGCAAATTTAACGCAACTGACAACGATGTATGTGGTCTGTATTTCATTTGTCGCTTTCCGTCACTACTGAAGTCGTGTAAAGAGACATGGGGCACTTACGGGGAGCGGAAATTTTGATCACTTCGATGTATTCAGAGTTGACGCAGTTGAACTTGCGCATGCTCGCCCGGAGAACCAGCTGGCGACCAGGAAGTGATGGATTGAGGCAAAGCATGCCTTTGTACCCAGCGTAGCGTATCTGAATGGCTGATGGCGTTTCAAGAAACTTCAGCTTCTTGTGCACCTACCAAAAAAAAAACGAAATCGTAATTCATATTTCAGCCACTACGGAAGTAGAGACACACTTAGAGTGCTTAGTTGCGTCCTTATACACTACACACACGTATACTAAACATGAGAATGAGCGTATTTGTGGCAGAGAAAAAAAAACAGCTCCCGCCTTGTGAAATATAGATCATGCAGAGATGCGGCCAAGTGATTAGTTTTATTTCACAAAATTTTATCTGGCTTGCAGACCCTTTCAAAACGGATTTCTCATTCAGTCCTAATGGGTGACCTAGCTATATTTAACCAAGGGTGATAAAATACAATATTGAAGTCAGATGAGTGAAATCAGCTGCATCTTACTGACAACCACCTTGAGGACTACTTAAAGTTTTAAGTTTTGTAATAAACTAATTTGTTGGGCGATTTAGCTAAAGAACTGAATATTGGCTTTATACAAGAAATGAGGCTTTAAAGTACGAGAGAATCTTCAAAAACACCCTATTCATTTTTTTGCGACAAAGAAAGTAACTCAGTTTTTTCCAAGCTGCAAAGAAAGCCCACAAAACAAAATCACCGCCCAAGCACTCCGCACAAATGATTAACCAGTGAAAGCTGAAAGGTGCGGCTTCGGTTTTCATCAGTGGGTTCAACCTGACGCTGCACCGAAGCCTTTCACAATTATTGGTTACAGGATCGTGCTTCTTAGTGAGGTTAGACACGTTTGGCTTGGGTTCACCACAGTGTATTTCACATGCCACGCATTGTGCCTCGCATGATCATGGAAGTGTGATGAGCGGTTGAATGCGCTTCGAAATGCGTCAATCTCAATGGCTTCGGCTGCGACCGCCTGTGGTTCAAGAGCAATTGAAATACCACTGGAGAAACTCCTGCCGAAAACGGGCGTTCGCCCCTGCGAACGCGTTGTAGTTATCGTCACGTCCACGCTGTCGTGCCCGCAACAATGCGCGTTCAGCGCAGCGTTTTTGCAAGCGTTTGAAATCGCAAGTTATCTCGGCGGCGTGGTTTGCACGATCCGCCCGCCACCGCCGCTTGCATTCCCGTTCGCACTTTAGGGTGGCTTGAAAGGCTGCTAAATCATCGATATGCAGTTCCTGCCAGTCTAATTTTCATCCAATAATACCTAGAGGAGAATCTGGCGCTAGTGCCCACACGGGCTCGTTCACCGGCGCTTGTACCCCCACGAGAGTTACCGGAAGTACATGCTCCAGATCTGTTTCGAATGGATCACGTTATTGACATTCGCGATGCTTGTTCGCAGAGAGTAGTACAAAGTGATATGAAGTTATACTTCTTTGAAACTTGCTTTGTTCTTTTGTACGCAAACTCTACTGCAAAAATTTTTGCGATTATGTGGTAGACGTGAAGGCCAAACCTCATAAGCGCGAAAATGCACGCGACAGCGACAAGCGACGCGACGTAGATCGGCTTCGCGCGATCAGTCGCTAGCGCAGGCAAACCTCATTCACGCGACGGCTTCGGCGAGCGAATTCCACTGTTGCTGGCATGAGGCCGTCTACTCGCACCAAGAAAACCGCGTAGCGAGCGGTATGCAATTTAAAAATAAGATATATTGTTGTGTAATGAAACGAAAAGTGTTTATTATTGCCTTGCAGCACTTTTTTATATGCACATGCGTAATAAACATTGCGTTATTTCTTGTTGCGCATACGTAACTCGGGCAGGGTCACATGCACCTATGTAGTCTGTTTTTTCAGGTATTTCGCTATTGGCTGCTTGAGCCCAGCACTTCCGGGCGATGAGCGACGGTTTCCAAATCTGGAGAACCGAGCGATCGCGCAAAGACGAGCACGCGACCCGTCGCGCGAACACCCTGTTTTGTCGCTCATAGCGTCGCTCGTCACTGTCGCGTGCATTTTCGCGCTTATGAGGTTTGGCCCTGAAACCTGGAGAAATCAAAACACCAGGGTATGCATTACTCTGCCTTTTAAAGTTAGCATCAAGATATAATCAAATTTTTACAGCACTTGAAAACAAACCTTGTTTTGCCCTCAAAAGGACGCATTATTCATTCATGAAAATAACGGTTCAGTATTAAGTGAGAAACGCCTAACATTTCGTCTGCTAAGATGCTTGGTGCGTCTGCCCCAAACGCATCTCTCGTTTTGTTGCGAAGTCCAGTCAGTGGAGCTTGAAAGTTAGTCTACTTAGCTTCGTCGTAATTTTGCAGTCTAGTTAAATGAGTTTTGGCAAGAAGCGATTATGAAAACACGTGAGCTCTACGCATTATTCTGCACTGGCGCGGGACACTTCATCTATGCACAGCGGTGACTGGAAGACACCTCGCTTGAACTGTCGAATACAACATGTAAAACTCCAACGGCGCAGCAATTCTAGAGACCTAGTGGTCTTCAGCCTTTCCTAAAGACTATGGCACTGCTTCTGTGCTTTGCACCACACCCCTCTACCCACTCTGCACAGAGAATGAAACTCAAACTAGAAAAAGATCCGCAGACTGTACACTCGCTAACACAATCTAATCTGAAGGTTGTACTACCCATATGAAATTCACATGGGGGTACAGGATTGCAGCGCCAGACTCCTCTCTAGGTATTATTGTATGAAACTGTGTTGCCGGCACGTGGCATCCCGGGACTTTTTTTTTGTTCCCGGACAGCACCATGTCCATGGCTTACCAATGTCGAAGGTCTCAGTAGAAACTAATGCAACCATGCTCGGTGCCATGACGATGGTATAATAATATCGGTCGATAAACTTGGAACAACAGGGGTCAAAAAACATGCCACAAGCATCAAAGCTCACTAAAGATTGAAGCGCGACTATGGGAGGAGAGGCCAAACAACGAAAAGCGAAAACTTGGTGTATATATATATATATATATATATATATATATATATATATATATATATATATATATATATATATATATATATATATATATATATATATATATATGTACGTATATATTTTAGATAGTGGTAATATTATACATTTCAAAATTATTAAATTTACAGTTTGTCTGAACGCTTCGCTAAATGGTGGATTGCCTCTTTTTTAGCCGAGTGCCATAAAAGGTGGGCGTATCCAGGCAATACGCCATCAGGGCTTGTGCTTAGTTCGGCGAATAGCCGGGTCAACTGGGCATCACTCACTTCTGTGGTGGTTTAGTGCGTACAATCCGTAGTTTACTTGCTTATGTGCGGTACCCTGGCGTGATATTTCTGAGCTGAACTAATTGATTGATATGTGGGGTTTAACGTCCTAAAACCACCATACGAGTATGAGAGACGCAGTAGTGGAGGGCTCCGGAGATATTGACCACCTGGGCTTCTTCAACGAGCACCCAAATCTGAGGACACGGGCCTACAATATTTCCGCCTCCATCGGAAACGCCGCCGCCGCAGCCGGGAATGACAAGAGGTACTTGGAAATATACTGGTGCTAGCGAGTTGTACTTCATAAATATTATTTTGAGTATTCAGTTTTACTGCACTTATGCTGCATAAAATCTTTTACTGCACTTATGCTGCATTTTTAAGTCACTTTATGCTGCATAAAATGATTTGTAACAGCAATGTTCTCACGCCCACCGAAGCCTTCAAATTAACAAATTGAAGTACGCACAAAATGCAGTCAATTTTCTTTCCAGTCACATTGTTATGCAAGATGAATACGAGTGCCTTTTGATTTGCAGTCGCAGTTGACCCAAAAAGTGATGAAATTATTTCCAGAAAAACTTTGTAGATGGAATATGCAACAAGATAGATAGGTGGTAGTGCATCTTCTAGCATATCGATGCATAAAACACAGCACCATTACGTTGAACGGGCACCTTTGTATGTTACCCGGCTGAATGACAGTATCATCGTGAGAAGCACCAAGAACGAATGAACAGTGCGAAAAAAATTGCTGCACAGAGGAACGACGCAGCTGTTGTCTGCCGTTACTGTAACTCTCTGAATAAACCATGCTGATACAGCTTGCAGAAAACGGCACAACAAAAATAACACCAACACAGGCGGTACTTGCAATGATACTATTCCTCAAACACCACTTGCCCAACATTGAACTATAATATCACTTAGGTACCGGGAAATCGGGGCATATACCAAAGTTACCTCAAAAGCGCTTTGTCTAGTATACAGATAGGTGGTCTAACTATGAAAAAGTCTTTAGGTAGGTGGACATGCAGCCAATAGATTTACTGGGCCACTGTAACAAAGCAATACTTTTAACTAGTTTTTCAAGCAGCGATACTGCCTCTACCGAATAGGTGATCTGCCATCCACATCACCAGTGAAGCCAGCTTCTACTAGCAGTGAATTTCAGATCGTGTATGTTACTCGACATATAATGCTGCCGGGGGCTCTGAATTAACAAAGCTAATGTAGCAGAACGGCACCGGCACGTTAATTAGGATGTAGAGAGTCCGATACAGTCACTTTCAACAGCCGAATAGTATTCAAGCCAGTAAAACTGAGAAGTTCGCGAGCGAAATGCGCGTTACGTGATGTCAAATTGTATTCTTAACAAAAACGTTTTTCGAGCGCGTTTTCTACATTTTTAATAGGCATTGAATCTTAATGATGGACATATGCAACCCAAGTATGAGAAAACGTGACGTGACCGTGACGTGGGTAAAATTTAGCAAATCAAGATGAGCTAGCAGTACAAAAGGAGTGTAGTTTCCAGTCTTAGGCGTAGCTGCCCAATGCCCAAAACGAGAGTTGAAAGAAACTGAATGAAAGGGACAACAGCTTTGCAGCCCGACAGCTTTCACGACTTAAAATAGGCTAGATTTCTCTAGGAACCTATGCATGCTCCAGTGAATAATGCTAAAGGAAAGATTTTTTTTCTTTTTCTTTCACTTCATCTTAATTATAAACTTCAACTGTGACTGCAATTGTTAAGTGCTGACATACCATGCGGTCGACGCTAGTGCGATGTGAAAAATACGAGGGTTTTCACTGTTCTTACCGATAGAAGCAAGATAAAGGCCATTACGGCATATGGCAGTGAACATCCCGTTACACAACAAACACGCGCACAAAATGCCCTAGAGACTTACCAAATAGCCCGCAAGATCGTTTTAGGCAGGATAAAAGCCACTGCAGGTGTGCTCACCTCTCCAAGCAGTTCTGCAGAAATCATGCCAATGCCATCAGAGAAAATGTACTGCTCGTTTGTCGCAGAGTTTTTCCTTCCTTTAATATCTGGGACTTCCAGCACAGAGTCACTGAGGAGGGGAACTTTCACGGATTCTTCTGTAGATGAGAAACACTGGCCCATGCGTGCCATTTTCTTTGCAGTGCTCGAAATACCACTGAAGTCACCCATCCAGTAGCGGATCATATCGGTGCAGTACCCCTCGCCATCCTAGAAACAAATGGTGGCAAAAACAAAAAAGAAAAAAAAACTGGTACAACACAGTATGTAAAACAAGTAAGGTGACGCATTGCACCCCAGCTTCTCAACTCCACCCCCTCTCCAGTCCCTATGCTTAACAGAACGGCGATCCGCATTCTCAACAGGCAAGCCACACTGCTGCGGTGACCCCAAATTGAGTTATACTAGACCCTGGCTCAACACTACATCGACTTGGACGGACACTTCAAAGGACAAATGTATACAATGAAAAGACATGCGGTATGATGTATATAGATAAAAGCAAGTTACGCTGCTAGACTACCTTATCGATTCATGCGGGAGTTGCTCAGTGCGATTCATACGAAGATTTCAAACCCACTTGTTTTACCACATTATTTGATTAACTGTATTAGCGTCTGATGAAAGTGTCTGGTATGAAAACAGGAGAGCAGTATTATATACAGGAGGAAGACAAAATCAACTAATGAAAATATGTTCCTGCTTTGCTAGTTTAGGCTTAAAATGAATCAACTTCTTAGACATGCTAGAATGGCATCAAACCTCCCATGCTACAAGCGAAGGCTTTTTTCGTCGGCCTGCATCCCCCTTTCACACAGAGTAACAAAAAAAGTTTAACTTTGTTAATTTACATGGCCTTTGTGCCCGACAAAGGGACGTCGTGACAAGTACGCTTGGATTAAGTTGTGTTATGTGTCAAAACAGGTTGAAATTTGTTACGCCAGCGCGTCGGAACTCTAAGTGCATTCCATCGAATAAAGATAATAAGTAATGATGTCTAAGGCTAGATGGAATTAAAGACGGTATGGAAATCGCTTTGCGTGCCCGTGGTAAGGGATTTCTGACTAAGTTGCTAGGCCAGTGCAGAATTTGCTGAAACATTTGTTAGACGCCCGCAAAAGATAAGCTCTTGAGAATGTACTGAGCTCAGTATTATGACCATACCATCGTAAAGTTACGAAATGTATTTCAAGAACCACTCACCACAGCATAGAACCATGCGCCATGATCTCGTAGTTGGCTGCACGATGAAGCCAGAAGCTTGAACAGCCTGTCTCCCACGGACAGACCGTTCCGTAGAGTGTCGGTGACAACCCTTTCAATTGCCATATGCCGGCAGGAGCCAGACATGAGCGAGTACGACAAGTGCTGCAAATTGTCGTCACGAAAGGACACGCGTAGCGAGTACTCAGGGTCGAACTTGCGGAGGATCCTGTTCTCGTTGTGAAGCTGGGGAGGGAGAAAGATCACTTTGGACGGAGTCACTATAGAACGCCGAACCAAGCGTGTTCCACTCGGCGTCTTAGGAAGGTGAAGAGGGACCCCGCAGAATTTCTTATACAGCTTTGGTAGACAATGAACGATATCTACAACCTCGTGTTCCTCGATAGCGCTGCGGATCGCAAAAAGAGCGGCCTCGAGAGCAGCGCTGTTATGGAAGGCAAAGCCAACCAAGTCCTCCTCGAACTGTTCCAACTTGTCCCGAGCAAGCAAGGCCATCTGAGAATATCCATTATTTCCTTGCTGTAAAACCGCGGTCAACGCATAACAAGCGGAGAACCCAATACGCGGCTTAACCTTGCTACTACACCGCTTCTTGATCTCTTTCAGCTGTGAACCAATTTTGCTGGTCATCATAGGAGAGTACTGAAAAGTTGTTTCCCGCTTGCAACGGGCTGTTAGACAAATGATCGCTTGTCGTCCTTTCAGTTTGTTCTTTATGCTCAACTTGATGACAGAGCTTGCACCAATGTCGCAGCTGCGCATCAGCCAAAAGCAAGTACATCCCAGCTGAAAAACTCTATTGAACCATGCGTGGTCAGTGCTATCACTGGGCATGTCCCATCCACTGGAACTTTTTGATCTTATATAGAGCAACGGTGGGGTGATGATCTGAAGGTATATGCCTATGGCATCTTGTTCTCTTTCGACCTCGTTCACAACAACCCTAAATATGCTGCCATACGGTATCTCCAGCTTGAACTCGCTGGAAACGGGCCTGCATCCCTGACGGTGATTCAACGAGAGCATCACTTGCAATAATCTCTCGTCATGCTTAAAAGTGCAGGAGATTGTGTAAGCTGGAAGGCCTTCATCAGAATAAATCACATGGCTTTGAGCGAACACGCAAAGGTCTGTGAACGTTCCAAAGGAGAGAGTCTCCAGTGGTGTATGTGTCTCGTATGGGGTTGTACCGCGCCAGAAACCACGCCAAAAACCGCGCTCTCGGTCTGGGCTCAGCCACTGAAGACACCCCTTGAACGGAACAACCTTGCCCAGATGACACCACTGCTGAGCTATGCTGGAGCATATAGAAGATAGCTCGCTATCGGAGGCTGTGCAGTCCAACAACTTAATTGTGCACATAGCTTGGAACAGCTTCTCCTCCGAGTGAATACCAGATTCCACCACAACATCACTCACGTGGAAACTTGCTCTTTGGGGCAAGTCAATTGTGCTGAAGAATCGCCCATACAGCGAAACGTAGTTTTGAGGTTCGCCACCCTGATCTTTCCACACAACGAGAAAAGACAGGTGGTCTGCCATGTCTTGGACAGCTCCTGAAATAGTGCAAAAAAGAAAAGCCTTGGCGCTGATGAAAGTTTTCATGCATATGAGCGCACGAGCTTCTGCGTAACACGTAATCGCACTCACTAGAGCCTGCTAACTCATTCCGCTTCCGTCAGACACACCAGACTATCGAACATTTATGCTAATTTAAGAAAGCCATGGTGGGACGTTCAAGTGTGTTTTCTTTGCCGGTCATATGCGGAAGCACCTATATCAACTTTGAAGGCTTTATAGTTACCTTCGCCACGAGACATTGTCCGTAACCGACTGACGAGCAAGTACATTACAGGTCATCTTACTTCACGACAGAGTGTCAGAACTGCTGCTAAAGAGGGAGCACCATTTTCGCTAGCACAAATCACAAATAAATCTAGTGCTCCCAACGTGCGCATGTACTGAAATGTAAAGAGCGTCTACACATCCCTCGCTGCGTTATTGTCGTCAGTAACGATCGACGAAAGTTTGAAAAGTTTAACGTCAGACATCTGATATCTGTAAGCAGCACCGTTCGCACAGGCCGGTATTTCATAATAAACAAAATTCGTTATTTAGCACAAACAATTTATGAATGTTAACTGTATCTATCTGAAATATTCTCACGATTGCACCGCTTGAGATATTTGCCGTCAAAGATGTAGCAAAATGATCCCTCTACTATGACAATATTTTCTTTGTTTAAACTAGCAAGTCCATTTTGTCATACAATTTTGTATATTTGAAGCACGTCTACCTCGCAGTTTTGCGATACGAGTTCGCAGAGTGACCCGTCTTTCAGCTGCCCAAGGGATAAGTAACGCAAATTTATCCACTCATATTCAATTGCAACACCTGTGGTTAAGATAGTTAAAAACCTAATGTAAGAAACTATTGGTTAATTATGAGTATCCTTTCCTGCGAAAATAATGCCCATCTCTGACAAAGGCAGCTGAAAGTGTTTAGCACTGTGAGAATATCCGCCTAAATGAAATTATATAAACAAAATATATGAAGTTATATAAACAATATATATATATATATATATATATATATATATATATATATATATATATATATATATATATATATATATATATATATATATATATATATATATATCGCCACCTAGAGTTGGGAGCCGGCAAGCCCTAGCGAGCCGGAAAAGCCTAAGAGAACGAAGAAGTGTGGTTAGCGCTTCGTTTGAAGATACACGCTCGTGTCTTTCTGCCCCGCTTTTCCTATCTTGTCTCTACGGCTCTTGCTGCGTGACAAACTGGAGGAGGTGCGGGGTAATCCATGCATCGTACCCCTCCACATAGCAAGAACTCCAGCGTCGTACTGGTGGTCGCTCCTGCGGCACCACGTTAGCAGAAGAATCGGAGGGCAATCCCCCCCAGTTTGGACTGCTCGCAAGCAACATGGCAGCTCCGACTAGCCCTACCGACACCAACTTAAGTGATACGAACGGCACAACGCCGCTTCATTGCACCTTACTCGCACCGTGAACGCCAAATCCCTTTCATGGCACTGCACTTGAGGATGTCGAAGGTTGGCTTGTTCATTACGAGTTCGCTACCGTGCACAATTAGTGGGAGGACGCACCGAGCTGACCCCGGCATGCCAGAAGAAAAGAAGGTGTGGTGTCTCATGCGCGCGGGGTGTAAGAGCAGCTTTTCGGTGGGCTTGTGCGCAGTCCACCTAAGACTGACGGAATTTCTCACGGAAGCCGTCACCATCGAAATCACTCTTAGGCACCGGGACCTGTCATACGAACGGCACGTCGATACTTCAACTACGGAGTACTTGAGAGCTTTCGGTGGCCAAATGAATTTTTTCCGAGAGCTCATACGTTCAGTCATCCGCGAAGAACTCCAGAAGCTTTCAGTGCCTTCGCAGCCCACTATCTCTTCGTTGTCCAGCGTTGTCCGAGGTGAAGTCCAGCATGCCTTGAGAGAACCGTCTTTTATGGGGGATTCACAACCACTCAGTAACTTCCCCCGCATATTCTATGCTCAAGCTTTGCGGCAAGCTGTTACACCTGCGATTCCGCATCCCTCCGTGCCGTGGCCCCAGCCATGCTGCAGACGGTCCAAGTGGCGCCATTATACAGCACACCTAGCCTGATCTCGCGGAAATCGGACGTCTGGCGTGCGCCAGATTGATGTCCTCTCTGCTTCCACTGTGGCGAAGCTGGGCATGTGTACCGACAGTGTTCTTACCGACAACTTCGACTACGCGGATGTTCGACGAACTCAACGCCACCAAGGTTTAGTCAGCGGCCCCCTTAAATTGAAGAGTATGTGGCTCAGCAGCGCGGAACTTCATCCTTGCACCAGTCATGCTCCTTGACACCGCGGCGATTTTCTCCTAATCGCCGTACCTATTTGAGCGTGGAACAGGGTTGGTTACACAGTCCACGCAGAAAAACTAACCACAGCGACCTTCGGGGGTGAGGCCGCTCATAATGGACAAGCTGAAGGCCTCCTACCGACGCTTTCGCAAACTGATGGTTTCCCGATAACAACGACATCAGCTGTTTCCGCAAACATTTCATTAGGCATTCCAGTGCTGCTCGACGATCACAAAGTTGCAAAGTTTAAGACGGTGCAATACAGCCATCAAGCAGCCCATGGTCATCGCCAGTGGTCCTTGTAAAGAGTAAGGACGGTACACTTCGCTTTTGTGTCGATTATAAAAAGCTGAATAACGTCACAAAGAAAGACGTGTACCCATTGGCCCGAGGGAACGATTCTCTTGACAGGCTGGGGTGAGCGAAGTACTTTTCCTCAATCGACCTCAGAAGTGGTATTGGCAAATTGAAGTCGATGAACGTGACCGCAAAAAAAAACGGCTTATGTAAATCTTGACGGTCTGTATGAATTCCGAGTGCTGCCATGCAGCCTCTGTTCCGCTCCAGCCACATTCCAACGAATGATAGATACCGTTCTCGCTGATCTCAAGTGAAAAAGTTGCCTCGTATATAGAGATGATGTGATCTTTTCAAGAACGTTTGACGAGCACCTTCGTCGCCTTCGGAGTGTTCTTGAAGCTATACGATCTTCTGACCTTACCCTAAAGCTTCAGAAGTGCCATTTCGGCTACAAAGAACAGAAGTTGATCAGTCACGTTGTGAGCGTAGCAGGCGTTCGTCCCGATCCCCAGAAGACTGCTGCTGGGGCCGCTTTTCCAACTCCGACAGAAAAAAGCATTCGACGATTTCTAGGGCTCCGCGCACACTATCGCTGCTTTATTGAAAACTTCTCTAAGATTACGGAGCCTCTCATTCTTACGCGTAACGACACCCCATTTCTGTACACTGACGAACAAGCGACTGCCTTTGCAGAACTGCAACATCCATTGTCTTCCCCTCCGGTACTTGGTCATTTCGATGAGGACGCTGACACAGAGGTGCGCACTGACGCAAGGAACATTAGTCTCGGTGCTATCCTGGTGCGAACACAATATCAGGGGAATATGAAAGAAAGAATGCAAGTTTAAGATTTTAAAGCAAACTGTATTACAAGAAAAGGTTACACGTCAGTCTTCTGCTGCCTCGCGATCTATCCCAGTTCGTGCCTCGAAACTAACTGCCTTGCCATCGGGTCGGGCCTGACTCGATGGTCGAGAGGGGCTTTCTTCACCCCACGGGGTGCCACACCACTGCATAAAACGCGACGGCAAAATTCTTTGTATTACGTCGCAGAAAACGCGTGATTTCGGACGTATCGAGTTTCAACTGCGCGTTTCACAGCGCCGAAAAGCTATAAACACTGCCTTAAAGACTGTTCGGACACAAAAGGACAGACACGCACATGGAGCGGCTGTGCTCCGACACTGACAACAAGATGGGACTGAACGTGTGATTGCCTACGCGAGCTGCACTTCACGTGCCGAAACCAACTATTCGATGTGAGAGAAGGAATGTCTCGCGGTAATATGGGCGATTACAAAGTTCAGGCCTTATCGCTATGGGCGTCCATTTAGAGTTTTAACTGATCACCACGCTTTATGTTGGTTAGCTAATCTCCGAGACCCCTCTGGGCGATTAGCACGATTGAGTCTGCGACTTCAGCAGTTCGATGTCACAATCGTATACAAGTCGGGTATAAAGCCTGAAGACGCCGACACGCTATCACTAGCACATATGGAATACGACCATACAGCTATAGAAGACGACAGTGCCTTCCTGAGTACTCTCAGTGGGGTGGACCTTCTGCGTAAGCAACGAGCGGACCACGAGTTAAGGCCCATCATCGATCATTTAGAAGGCAGCACCGCGTCTCTTCCTTGTCCACTTTCCCGTACGTTCCCGTCATTTTGCTTACGACACGGCATATTATACAGAAAAAAATTTGTGTTGGCAGCAGATCTTATCTTTTAGTCTTTCAAGACCTTCGTGATGACATCCTATTAGCCTGCTACGATGAGCCGACATCCAGCCATCTGGGATACCCACGGACGCTCGACAGGGTACGACAGCTATATTTCTGGTCAAAACTCGCAGCTTGTGTCATACGCTACGTGAAAGGATGTCGCGAATGTCAGCGTCGAAAGTCACCACCTGTAAAGCCTGCAGGCCTCTTGCAACCCAACGACCCACAACGTACGCCATTTGACCAAGTTGGAATGGATATTCTTGTACTGTTTTCTTTGTCTCACTCCGGAAACAAGTGGATCATCGTCACCACTGATAGCTTGACGCGTTTCGCTGAGACGAAGCCATTGCCACGTGGTACAGCATCGGAAGTCACCCAGTTTTTTATGCACCACATTTTGCTTCGTCACGGAGCCTCGTCAGTCATCATCACTGACCGAGGGACAGTGTTTACGGCAAAACTGTTGGACGACATCTTCAAGCTCAGTTACACGAACCACCGCAAGACAACCGCACCCCCCCCCCCCCCTGAGTAACGGCTTAACAGAAAGGCTAAACAAAACGCTGGCGGACATGATTTCTATGTACGTGGATGTGCAGCATAAAACGTGGAACGAGATCATCACTGCCGCAACCCAG